AGCGCGAAGCCGCCCGCCCGAGGGCGGCGGGAGGCAGCGGCCCAGGAAGAGACGGGGAACGTTCGAGGAGAAGAGCCCTTCTCAAAGAGCGTATTTTATCTCGTTAGAGGTGGTGTGTGTGGGGGGGAAATTCTGGAAGCCCTCCGCCGCCCGCGGTTCCCTTCCGCTTTGAAATCCCGGTTAATAACTTAAAGTTACTTGAAAGTTTGTTAGGCAGAGCGCCAAGGGAAGCTGCATTACTCGAACAATGGGATCGCTCACTCGTTATAACAGCGAACTGTCAGTTTGTGCAGAAGCAGGCCCTACAACATGAACTGAGGAGTGCTAATGAGATTTTATTTTATTCCCCTCCTTTTAAAAACAGCATTCATGGCGTGATCCTGCAGACACACTGAGTAATGCTGTTCACGCAAGTCAATACTATCTCCAGTTTATTTTTTTTATTCATGGGCACAAAATTACAGAACATGAATTTTGGCTGGATTGAAGGATGATGTAATCTTTGGCCAACAAAAATACAGTAGTAGTAGCAGCACTTGTACATGGTAGTAAGTTCCTGTACTCATTGTTTAAATTAATGCAATTTACTCTTCTAATGTAATCTCTATTTTAAAGGCTAAAGAATTCTAGGTTTGTTCAAATATATTAAGAATTTCTTGCCGTGCAAAACCAATTTTGCTTTAACCTTTCTGGATCCCCAATGAAACTAGCTCTATACACTTCTGGAAGAGTGAATTATAGAAAAAGGATTATAACAAAATTCCCAATGTTTCAATATTATTCGATAGTGACAAGTATTGTGCCAAATCCATCATTCTCCAAAACCATTGCTCTTGCGTCACACCAGTCCAGCACAGTAGATTTAACACTATTTCACCAATGTAAAGACTGACACAGAAGTGAAAAACTGCCTAGGAAGACAACAGAAAGATGCCAACAGAAAGATGCCAAAAGAAAGATGAATACGACCCTGTTTGGGTGGTCTCACTGTTAGATTACTGCTTGTTGACTGCACATCTTTTTTCACCTAGACCAGATGGTCCAGGCTCTTTTACATGCTTTCTACAAAATGGACTAACCTGGTTCTGCTCACTTACCCAGACAGGATAATCTCGTTAATCTTATAATGGCCCTCAATTTTGAGCATGCACTGGCTTTTGACTAGACTTGTTTGAACAAATGCTTACCATTTTATGGATGCATGTAAATGTACTCTTTGCTTCCTTCCCATCATTGTTTGCTCCTTCTTTGGCCTACTACTGTTACTATTTTTGTGAAATTATGCAGCACTTCCAAGATCTCTTCTGTACAAGCTAGCGCTGGTCTCCTATTCAGCAGCTTTTGCTGTTCTGATTTGCACTGAAGCAACTTTAGATTTTACTGAGGCAGACAGGTTCACTGCAGGCTAGGAAATCTGCACATAAATGAAAGGAAGTCATTTAATATGGCACGCAGAAAGCTGCCCCATGGAGACAGGGTGCAAACCCAGTGTGCCAGCTTTCAGAATGAAGACAGACAGTATCTGTCAGAATTTCACTTCAAGCAGGCAATCACTCAGTACAATGTACTGTATTTCTGTGCTGGGTTTTTTGTTTTGTTTGTTTCGGTTTTTTGTTTTGTTTTTTTCAGTTTTTTGTTTTGTTTGTTTTTTTTTACCCTGAACTAGTTATCTCTTCCTTCAACTGTAACTTTTTATATCCCACTCTAGGAGACAAAATAGCAAGAATCTGGACCAGAAAAAAACCCCACCATGCAACCAAGTTGCAGTCATCTCCACAACATCCAAGGGAGTGGTGATGACTCTTCATCTTCTCAGAGCGCCCACGCAGCGAGGTTGTCAGGAGAGAGCTCATGCCATCATAGCGGAGATGTTCGCTTACAGCTAAACTCTGCTGTGGGAGAAGCCAGGGAAAACGCGAGTTCCCGGCATTCGAGGCCGGGTTCCCAGAGTCGCTCACACGGACATGCCCACAGCGAAGCAGCGGGGCTTGACGATTCCACTCCAGACTCGGAGGAACACAGTGGCAGCTCCCTCTCAGAGCTCAGATGCCTCCTCCAGTGGCTGCACAAAAGTCTGCCATACATCTTGATTCTGTGTGTCAAACTGATCATGCAGCATATAATTGGTAGAGTATAACAAAATAAGGTCTGAGAGAACAGACCCCCTCCCCCCAAAGAGATATACTAATAACCGTGCCTGAAATGTAATTCAGTTTATTTTTAGCTTTATTTTTATTTGCTTTATTCATCAGAAAGAGAGATTTACTAAACTACATTTCAGTGGCTTCTGTTTCCTTTGCTGGCATATGTACAATACACTTAATTATTCTGGCTTGATAGTCTGAGCTATTAATTGTAATTACAAAGACATATTAGAAATGGCTGTTTTTTTAACCCAGTTCAGTTTTTTTATTTTATTTTCTTGTGTATAACTGACCCTTTTTTCCTAATAGGCATTTCTCTTGGAATTGGGCTGCTAACAACTTATATGTATGCAAACAAAAGCATAGTAAATCAGGTTTTTCTAAGAGTAAGTATCACCCTATGCAACAAAATTCTGTAAGTTAACCTAGACCTTTATCCATCAATTTTTGAAAGAATTGTGAATGGAGATACTGTTTTATTTACCTAATAATATTAGGTGTCAAGGTTTCAAGATGGAAGTAAAGTCTTAATGCTTCTATACAGTATAGAGCTTCTCAGATAAGTAAGGCTTGCAGAATTCAAAGAGGTTTTTCCTCCCCCTCTGACTTTGAATATTGAAATCACTTCAACCGATAAAAGCTTTTTTGCAATTAATGGAAGAACTTAACTGTATTTGTGGAATCAAGTAGCAGTTGACAGTTTAAATATTCAGCTGTCTCTGTTCACTCCCAAAGGAAAATTTGTTGTTTCTTTAGAGTGGGGTGGATTTTGGTTGTGTTTTTAGAAAAAACCCTGATACACATAGAAACTGTTATGTTGAAAACATTAAAATTACTGCTTTACCTTTCCATTGAGTTCTTCTACTTTATTTGGCCCAAAATCTCTAAGATAAAATCCTCTAGTTGTGAAACTCTGTTCAGGTGCAACAGACTTAGTTCTTTGGAGATACACTGAAGACACTGATACTGACATAAGGACTGTAATTTAATGTCTTTACAATGATCTTACAGGAACGGTGCTCCAAGTTGCAATGTGCTTGGTTACTAGTATACCTAACTGGATCATCTCTCCTCTTGTATTACACCTTTCATTCTCAGTCACTGTATTACAGGTAAGTAGAGGAACATCTCTCTCTCAACACAAATTACTCAAATATTAACTGGGAACGTTTTCTCTGGGGTGCTGCTGTATTTCATTAATTGTGGCATTGGTTTCTCTTTCATTTTCACCTCCATTCCTCCTCTTCTGCCAAACTGAACAAGTGCTGTCCTTAAAAAACAGTATGTTGGAATTTGCAAGATTAGACCCCATACTCAGCTTAATGGCACTACTGTACCGTGGGGAACGTACCTGGGTTTGTTTCCTAGCTTTGACCCTACCACCTTGCCTTCGGAATACTGAATGTGGTATTCTGGGGCTCTAGGTAGTTTATGTCTCCCATTTATTTTTTCTTCCCCCTTACCATCCTGTAGCTACAGTCTTGGCTGTAAATGAGTTGAAGGCTGTTTTGCTAAAATGGGAAAGAAAGCTTATCTCTAGAGGATGGGCATTGTGATGAAGATAGAGGAAAGAAGGTTCAAAAATGGAAAGGTTGTCAGAGATCATAAGTGATCAGTTTACAATAAAGAGTTCATTTTCTTAGCAAATATTTTTCCTCTGTGTAAACCAGGTTTCCTTTTTTAATTAAACCTGCCGTGATAATCTCTGGTTATGTTTCCTCTAAATAGGGTGCTCCAGTAACTTCTGATAATTCTTTTTGTAGCTTAATCTTCTTAAACCCTACTGTGGATTTTAAGAACTTCTGGGAGGTACTTTGGATTGTGGGAGTCACAGACTTTATTCTGAAATTCCTCTTCATGGGCTTCAAGTGCTTTATTCTCTTGGTGCCTTCTTTTATGATGTCCTTTAAATCCAAGGTAAGGAAACAAGCTGTATTTTTGCTTCCTTATGAAGATTCTTTTATGGTAAAATGAACTAATTATTAAATTCTACCCAGAGAAAAGTCTTTTTAATTGAAGGTCCATATATAATCTACCACTACACTGTGGGTGAGAAAACCCCGTGGATTTCATGTTCTTCCCTGCCTGGTGCTAAGGAAGGTTTACAGTCTGATCTGAAACAATTGCTTCTATTAAGTCATTGGATAAATGAATTTATTTGTGTCTCTAAGTGGGGGGGATGAAGAAACCTTTTATTTGCTGCAATGTAAGAATGTGTATACAGGCTGTTAGCACAGAGCAGCTGAAGCACAGTAAATTTTTAATGTGCTCAACACTAACTGACATGGGAAAATTTCAAGATCTGCGCATGCAGACAACTTTTTTTTTCTGTCTTTTCACAAAATAATTCTGAATTTTCTTTTTGTTAATAAACGGAAGCAATATTCATGTCAGATCAGTGAATTTGATTTCTAACTTAATTCCTCAAACCAGTGAAGTTTATTAATTTTCACAGAAGCCTACACTGGTTGGGGGGGTATTTATTTTTATCTGCTTCCCAAGGTGAGACAGGCAAAACCAATTACATTTTATGTCAAAATAGCAAATACTAGTATTGGTTCAAAAAAAAAGCACAGTTTGTATGTGGTAGCACTTGAACAGTATGTTTTGGTACGTTTTATCTCTTAAAATGTACCACAAGTTTTTCTCAGGTACAACTGATTTCTCTAAATAGCGGTTTATGATCAAGATCTCTATTTTTTTCTACAGCTAGTAATAACGTTCCCAAAACAGTTATTGAAAATTCCCTTACACCAACTGTGACCTAAACGGTGGCTAAATTAAAGAATGAATCTGGTCAATAGTGGCAAATTGTGGCATTATCCAGTGTAAATTACAGAAAGAGTACTTCTTCCCCATTATAAATACAGTTTTAAAGACAAACTTAAGGAAATAAAGTAAGAGCTAAGCTAAACATCTATGATTATACATGCATACACAGAGAGTGCTCTGTGCAGCACGCCTGTGCTTTGTAGCTGTTATTCAGTAATTTTTAGGGTGTCATTGAACTCTTTACCTGCTCGGTCCAGCTACCCTGTGCTTCTTTCCTGGTCCCCCAGTTTTCTATCACCCCATCCTATTTAGGAGTTAATTATCACAAGATAAGGCTTCTTACACAGCCATGAAATAACGTTTACAGGAAAACAGTTTGTAATATATGCTTTTTAATAAAAGAATGGGCCTGACTCTTATTTTTTACCCCTGAATGCAGGACACAACTCTGCTAATGACACGCTGATCTACGTGACCAGATTTGTCTTAGTTTCCTCTTTCATGTAACTTTTTTTTTTTTTAATGCTTATGAAATTAAATCTGAGTGCATTGTTAAGTAGGTAGGCATCTGACAAAGCAATCCTATTTTAGCCTATTACTTTGATTTTCTGCAGTACAGCAATCAACTCTGTTATTGTTATTCATACAGTTGTGGTGAGACTCATCATCTGGTCTTCATTCTTTTTCATGCTTCATATTTAGTTGTTTCAAGATATTATGAGAGGATGTTACTTGAGAATAACAATGCATCTTTTCTCTATATTTTAAAAATCCTTTGTGTTTGAAATCTTGAGCGATTCCTTTGCATGTCTTGCTTAGGGCTACTGGTACATGCTGTTAGAAGAACTCTGCCAGTATTACCGTATGTTTGTCCCCATACCAGTTTGGTTCCGTTATCTTATTGGCTATGGGGAGCTGGACAGTGTACTGGGATGGACCCTTGGGATATTGTTGGGCCTTCTCTACCTCATCCTAAAAGTATGTAAGCTTTATATTCCTCTTAAATTATTTTGCAGTAATTATCACTGGAGGGTTAGAGGCACATAAACTAACACAATTCTGGACATTCTCCTGTCTTTGAACTCACCTGGAAGTTGATGCTTCAGTTTAACTGACACAGCCTTCCCAAACTGATAGGAATACTGGCTCAGGACACGAAATCTTTTTCCTGCTCCTGTTCTAGGAACAGATTGGGGTTGCATAGCAAAGAACACTGTTACTATAGGTCCCTTCAGAACAGCCATTGATAAGACTGTTACCAGATATTGAGGAAGAGAGCTTGCAAAAATAAAGGTAAAATTAATGCCTAAAAGAATCAGCATTTTCCAGGAAACTAGATTTTCTCTCTGCAAGAGTATCACGTGTGATGCTAAACAAATTAAACATGTTCATACTGGCTGTCTACTTCACCAGAGAGCTAATCTGCCCCAAATGTAACCAGACTCAGTACAAGTTTGGCTTTGAACACAAAAATACACTTTATAATGCTGAGGTATCTTAATTATAACTCTAAAGACTATGATAATAATGCTGGTATATTTGCACTTGAGTGCTTCATTTCAGAACCTCAACATATTTTCCTTTTAAACAACAAACACCTGCTGGGGGGAAAAAAAAAATCAGGCTAAATTCTTAGTTTGGTTACATACTAAGCAATAAAAATAGGGTCAGTAGGAACTATAGCTTTGCTTATGTTCCTGCCCACATCAAACTACCAGTGACACTTCTAGTGTTGGAATCTACACAAAAGTTTGGTAGCTTTTTAGTTCACAAAGATAAATATTAAGCTTAACTCAGGTTTTCTTTACCATTTCAGCTTTTAAGCTTTTTTGGACAACTGAGAAACTTCAGACGGGTCTTACGGATATTTTGTACACGACCAGTGAGTACTGAATTCTCTTATGACAAAATAATAAACCCAATTTACATGAAAAGACTTCTTTTTAAAATACCTCATTCCTATATTACTTTGTATCATTCTAGTAATAGACAACTGCTTTTTTAAAGTAACCCCTGTATACTTGTTCTCCCATTTCACAGTCTGAATTTATTGACTATGTGATTACATTGTCTGGTGAACAAAACAATTAAAAAAAACCAAACCGAAACAAAATTATTCTGCATATCTCTTCAGATAAACGTATGTGAAATAACATACGCTTTTTGTCCTGCTTCCTACTTTTTAACTGGAATAAATATTCGTTGGATGCGGGCAAGCTTTATGCTGAAATATACTGAGAATCAAAGCTTGCCGAAATAATTGACGTGCAAGTAACTTATATTAGAATTGTAAATTTTAAGATAATCTTTCTCTGCAGTAAGAGGCATTGTTTGGAGTCTGCTATTCACACAGTAAAACACATAGAAGATTTTGAACAACAGTGTAATGCAATAGAAGTGTAATAAAGCACTTAATTTTCTAAGCGCTGCCTTGATCAAATTGGAACTTAACACAGTATTTTGCTCAGAGGTCACCATTAAAACTGCTACAGATTTTTCCAGTATCTGATTGGGGGAAGATACTAACTAGACAGCATGGTAAGTGGGAGCTTTAGGCCCCAAGACAACTATTAAAAAAACTTTGCAACGTTTCATTGGATTAGGGATTGAATAGTTTTCCTGATATAGCAGCCCTTATTCCCAGTTCCTCTCAGTCCTGGTTTTTTGTGTTTTGTTTTGGCTTTTCCCTCCCTCTAGAAACTAATACCAGCTGAAAATACTTTGTTTTACAGCACTATGGGGTTACAGCTAGCAAGAGACAGTGTTCTGAATCGGATGATATTTGTTCAATCTGCCAAGCTGAATTTCAGAAGCCTATTCTGCTTATCTGTCAGGTAATACACATAATCTGAATTATTTTTACAAACTTAAGAATATTTTAAAACAACTGCTAAACAGAACAATATAAAGTTAGATTAGTGAGTGTATATCTTCTGATTATTTTTAGAAATCAGGCTATGCAAATAATATACCGTCTTATAAATGGAAGAGCTTAGAAGCTCTAAGTTCTCATTCTTTTCATTACAGCACACATTTTGTGAAGAATGCATCTCTTTATGGTTTAATAGAGAAAAAACGTGTCCACTCTGCAGAACTGTTATTTCAGACCATGTTAACAAGTGGAAGGATGGAGCTACATCTATGCATCTACAGATTTTCTAAAGCATGTCAAACAACTTGGTTTACAGTTTGCTTGTTCAAGCTAAGGTTTTTCAGTTTACCTGCAGATTAAATTGTAGGTGGCACAAGGAACGAGTTTCCAAATTCTAGATACCATGCTTCTATGAAATGTTCCAGTATTTAAAACAGAGCAGAAAATGTTAACTTGACCTTCTTAAGTATAGAAAAGTAAGTTTTCAGAACAAATGCAGAAAAGCCAGCATCGCTTCTCTTGTGATTCTTATCAGAAACAATCAAGTCCTTGAAAAATGCTGCATTACTTCTTGCAGTAGCTTCTTAATTCAACATTTTATTTAAAACTTGAAGTAGAGTTTCAGACTGTACTAAATTGTATTTATCCTTCTAACATGACAACCCCAAAGGTCAACCTACCGATTTTATTAAGATTATGAGGAAATTTTATACTCTGGACTACAGTGAGAATTACAGCTACCTGGCACACTGGGCATTAAAGGTCCTTTAATGCTTTCCCAATAGATGACAGAAATTAGCTTTTTATTCATGCACCTATAACAGCAACTATTTTTCACTGTACCTGGAGATAAGCCACAAGATTAAGATGCTTCCCCTTTAGGTTCTTGTAGACTTCTAATGGATCTTTGGCTTAATACATAAACCAACCACTGATGTTAGTTTTTTACTTAGCATTTTATAAAGTTGGTATTTTTAAAACAAATCTTTAATACTATATTTTTGTCATAACAGGAACCAGAATTTCTTACAGGGGAGAATCTATTTTATACTATATTTGCAATTTGTAGTATGCATAAAAATCAGAGAGAATAAATGCATTTAAATCTATTTGTTTGGTGCACGTTGAATAAAGAAACAAGATTCATTACTGTTTCAGTATTAACTTATGTGTAAGCACATAACAACAGCTCACTCCTGTTCTAGCTATACTTTTCCTCTTAAACTAATGTCTCTGCAAAACAAAAAGCTCCAAATGCTACAACTTATTCATGAGTAGTCTTTATGCTAACTATAGAGCTAACTTATGTACAATCTCACTTTTTTCCCTTGCTTGTCTTTTTTCACCTTGCTGTTCAGATAAGACTAAAAAAACAAAACCAACCCCCTCAAATTCTGTTATACCAAAGTTAAAGGGAGTTGCCATTAACTTAAGCTTGTCTTAACTGAGTACCTTTAGGAAACTTCTAAATTAGGGAAAAAACAGAATTAAAAAGTTAAACACTTGATGAACAATGTAGCAACTCAAATGGCCAGGCAGAGTGAATGCTATAAAGTTGCAGCTGACACAGCCAGATTTATAGGGCTGCCAGGGCATGATGGGAGAGTGCCCTTAAAGGTACAGCTAAAAGTGTAATACTAGTAGAAGTTAGTATTCTGAATAAAAATCTAGTGAGATGAAAGATTCAAGCTAAGAGGTGTCATTTTATGTTCAACCTGGGTTTTGCTATAGCATGCTGTGTATTTGCTAATTGGATTTTTGTTTGAGGTTTACTGCAGTTCAGAGTAAATGTGCCCTGCGATTGTTCCACCGTGGTATCTGAGTGACTGGGAAAAAGACTCCAGCTTAAAGCAAACAGGCAAAAGCTTCTAAGTCTGTAATTGGAAACTTATGGGAGTAGAAGAGACTGGTTCTCACGGAAGCCTTTCCCAGCAGGTGAGGTACTCAGTTTGGAGAATGTGCAGCTGACGGGTGTTAGAGCAGTCCTGAGGGTGGCAGGGAAGAACTAGAGCTTGGCCACAGCCAGAGCTGTGCTGTAACGGGCTTGTGCCCATACCTCCACTGGGGTCACAACAAACTGCTCTTTGTTTCCTCGGAGAGATCTAGCTATGCCTTAGCTTGCATTTGAAGTTCACACAAGATCAGAACTGTTTGTTATTTAACATATTAGCAGAACTTCCCTTGAGAGATGGACAAGAACTGAATCAGTCAAGGAACAAAAAAGAGTAGGGGGAACTTAAGGCTGGATTCTGAATCTGTCATAGGTCCACAGGGACTCTGGCAGCTCACTTGGTCACACAATCATATTTAGACCTTCACAAAATTAATCATGAACGTGCAGATTAGCTAAAGAGTATTTTAAGGTTTTTTTCTTCATACAGATATTATGTAAGTACTGTATAAACAATGCAAGTGCTATATTTAATTCAGTCAACAAACAGCACGTTTAAAAAAAGATTTGCTTGTGCGAGTAAAATGCGTGACTAAGCCCAATACACAGTTTATAAGGGCAGATGTAATAACCAACCCTTTCTAAAATACTGGGCAAAATAAAAATGGTAACTTATCCTGGATTAGCTTTTCCTGAAATGCTAATACCACCAGCTTAATCGCTTAATTCAAAAATCATCTGGCAGAAAATATAAACTAAAATTCATTAGACTTGGACATGATGTTAGAGCAAGGAAATGCACTTCCTAATATGTGAATATTGGTTAAATGCATTGCCTACCAGTAACGGGTAGCCATTCATCAGAATTTTAGTACTCTGTGACAGACTTTCAAAAATCTTTTTAGATCAACAGGTCTAAATCACCTAGTCCATTCCTGAAATACGAACTGGGAGAGTACAGATTCTGAGATGCACCAGCTGCTTAATGCAAATAGTGGTCCTGAAAGCAGAGCTGCTACCCTGCTGACTAAGGGAAGAGATCTGAGAAACAAGTAGAACAAGTATGCTTTCTTACTGCCTTATCCCCAAGATGAGCAAATAGCAGTCCCATTGCTTATGCAGCAGGGAATAGCGAGCAGGAAGTTTGCTGTTCCATCAGAGAACAGTATCGGAGATCTATGACAGTGCAAAGCTGAAGTGGTCCATCACGACCAATAGCTTGGACTGGCAAACCAAAGATGAACGAGGAACGTAGTCGCAGATCAAGAAACATGCTGCTTTACGCATACACATTCAAAGTACGCAGGGAAAATTGAAAGAAATTAACCTGAACTAAATATTCTTTTGCTATAGAGCAAAAGTGTTCATAAACTACTTACCTCAACAGGAAGTTCAGCCTCTGAGACAGACCCTGTACACTGAGGCATTAAGGCATCACGGACTGTATGCAAGACCAGCATTATTACTAAAAAATATGAAGCTAATTTAGAAGTAGTATACTTGTGGTTAAGAAAAAATTCAAGACAAGAACTTGACAGTGTCATGTGGCCTGTAAAGCTCACCGAGACTATTTTATGGAGCACAACAAACCATGGTGTCAGTGCTTTAGGTCAGCCCTGGATTGTTGCTGATCCTTTGGTCTTTGTCTACCACATGGCAGTAACACCACCTTACTAGAATAAGGGTGAATATTGGTCAGAGACAGGACCAGGGAATGATCTGCCTTTTATTCTCTCTCCCTGTTGATGATTTTTTTCTTTTAAGAGCCAGTGAAAATTATCCAAACCCAGTAATATTATCAAACACAGTTTATTAAAAAACAAAGCACTAAAAAGAGATTCTGAGCAACCAGTTTAGATTTACACTTCATAAATGAAACAAGTCATTCTCATCTTGGTTACAGAGAGGGGAGAAAAGTGAGTAACTTACAGCCATGAATGACATCCTCTCTGATCCGCTTGTCAGCATCATGCTATTAAGACGCAACTCTTCCTTATCAAGCCCACTCAGGCCAGGGTAGCTGCCCTGCTTTCCACACACACAGACACACAGACACCCAGCACATGGCTGACTCTGCAGGAGACAGAACAGAGAAGAGGATGACAAAGGGCAGTTCACAGCCCCTTTTTAAGAGCCCAAGAACCCCGGTGGAGGTCCCAGCCCTTGGTAAGACAGACCGATCAGAACTGGCATCTGTCAGGTCCTTTTAAGTTCTAAGTGGAATTCCTCCTCCCTCCCTTTCTCTTCAAAGCTGTCATGAAAGACAACGATTTAGATCCACAATTACACTTAGGGCCTACCTACTTCCTTAAAAAAAAAAAAAAATAGGTCACTTGCATTAGCATATGTTTAAATTTGCATTTAACTGCTATTCACATCCATTTTTTTCAGCAATTGAGCGTATTTAGTTCCAGTAAACTGTGAAAGATGAAAAACAGAACAGGGATTACCTTTATTTCTACTAAGGCAGCTCAAGTTTGTTTCTTGAAGACAGCTACAAAGCCAAGCTAATCTAGAAGAGAACAATCTGTAGAAGTTAATGTATAGGAACTGCATACAGTGCGTCATCAAGGAACTGCAGGAAGAATATTTCAGTAGTTTGCCTTGTTCTTAAGAACTTCTCCTCCTCCTTTACCTTAAGAGGTAAAGGATTTCCCTCTAAAATGGGAAAATGAAACAGCAACTATCCTGCTGTAGAGACAGAATTTAAAAAAACCCAACGAAACCCCAAGCATCTGTCCTAGGAACAGTAGAAGTCTTCCTCAATGTTTGATGCACTTTTTGATTAACAGTGAGAGCAGGTTGGGAGTTAAAAAGAGAACAGACCCAAAGTAAACATCCACTGTATAGTCAGAGTGGACTCAAATCTTAAATGTTCTCCAGCAGTTCAGCTTTTAGATAGCAAGACCAAAAAAATAAGGGATATTCAAAAGAACAATTGACTCATTCATTTTTATCTTTTATTATGAGCTAATACCAGGATGACATTCAAATGTCAGATGGCACAATTAAGACAGTCTTGGTAGGAATTATTCCAGCATTCCCAAAATTACAATTTAGTACACGAATGGCATCAAACGTATGCATCACTCCCACAGAGAAAAATTATGAAATTCTGAATATCTCATACCAGAATAGTTTCTGCATCAAATGGGAAAAGAAAAACTGCTGGTAACACAGCTGACCTATAAACCTTTTGTGATAATGACCTGCAGAACAAAATATTTCCCTATTTAACATCTAGTAAAAAAAAATATGACTTTTGTTCAAGTTTAAGATTTAATACTTTTATATGGTTAGCCACAACAGGTATTAACCTCAGTTTTACTATATTTTTGTAATGCTACAAAAATCCTATAAAATCAAATTATAGTGAATTTTTCAGTGATTATAATTAAAAAAGCGCAGCTTGTACAAAATAAAAAAAATAAGATTCTATACTCTAATGAAAAATTTAAGACATTTTTAAATGAACAAAAGAAAGCACTTGTTAAGCTCTCCAATATTCAATGCATTCTGCACTTATCTGAAATAGCCAGACAGGAGTTAGAACTCCACTCCCCTTAGTTCACGAATAGTA